CAAACCCTACTGCACTAGAAATGCACAGAGAAACATGACTTGAAGTGGGTCACTATTTGAAATATTAGTTTCAGAAGAGCCATAGAAGACTAGAAATAGGACACAGACAACAAAGTAATCACTGGTAGTTAAAAAAAAACCCATGACTCAGGATTTACTATTAGTGGTATATAGATTTTGGTTTGCTGTCCTTGAAACATGAACAATATCCTGATACCTGAAGACAATTTTTTTCCTTGCTTTAGATTTTGTTGTTCTATTCATTGGGTGTAGCTACCTCGATAAGAGCTGGAACAACTCCTGCTGTTACAGTTTTCCTCAACAACGCAAATTTCTGATCGGAGTCCTAGCGTTCAAAGACAGCTGCTTCCAAGGACAGTACAGCAGCAGGACAGATGAAAAACTGGCATATGCTCTTCACTGATCCACATTACTCTTGAGTCTGCCTGTTAACTTCATAAGGAATAGACAAAACTGAAAAAAACCCCACTTTCAACTGATGTCCTCAGCAGGCACTCTCACAGGAAGCTAAACTGGTTAATGACCAACCTGTCTTTCTCTTCCATGTTGTTTGCAAAGTTACACAGGAGGAGCGCAACAGAGCGGTGTGTATTGTGCATGATCGGTACATAGGGTACAAGGGGAATGTCAGTTCAGTCGGTTCTAATTATAATACTGGTCAAATGAGGCCATGGCATGAAAAGGCAGAAGACAAAAATAAAGATACGTACGCTTTTTGGAGTTTCTTAGATAAATGAGATGTAGAAAATGTGTAGAAAGGCGATTTAAACAGACAATTCAGTAGCAAAATTAGAATTTTATTTTTGTTCAGCGGACTGGAAAACTTAGTTAGCTGCAGTATCCCATGCACAAGACACCTCCAATGTGTTACCAACACAGCGAAGCAGGGGTTGCCAAGACATTTAGCAAGAAAGGCAGATACTGATTTCCAGTAAATCAAACCAGGTACTGCATTTCATCATTTTATCCATTCCTATTTTAAGGGAGGAGGAATAAGGCTACAACATGAATCTCAACAGATGGAAACATCTCCCCTGTATTTTAGGATAGTTTCCATACCACAAGTTTTAATGTCATTTATTACTTTCTAAGATTCCTGCTTATTTCCAAAGCAAATAATGACAAATTTGATTTACGTATTCTGTGAAATATGGCACTAGAGCGACAAATTTCGGTTCTGCATCAGTCCGTGCACATTTTAATGATCAATCTCAGTGGTACAAGACTGGTTCCCAAATTAGTGAGATTGCAAAAGTTACTAGTGTTGCAGAAAAGTACTTCAAAACCGTCAATTCACATGTCAGTTAATAGGTGAGACAATGCTTCAGCAGTTTGAGTGCTGGACATCTGTCAGATAGGTGGGTTTTATTTGATTCCAGCCATAATTCACACTGACACGGGTTAACTGTGAAGAACTCTGTCCAAACGTGTCAGAAAAAAAAACCAGCCTTCCCTGGAGATTGCACAAACTAAACTCTGTCCAAACGTGTCAGAAAAACCCCCCAGCCTTCCCTGGAGATTGCACGAACTGTGGTCGGATTTTTGAAGCATCCTGCACACGGGCAGACTGCACAGGAGGTACCACCGTCCCCCCTGGATCATAGGTTCCACAAAAACAGAGCAGCTACTCTGGAAAAAGTTACAGTTCTTGTCAACCTAGACCCCTCATTCTGTCATCGGTGAGTGCAGTGGGGCGAGGGGGCAGCAGCACGATGTTAACAGGAGAACACAGCTGTAGAAATTGCAGTGACCACAGTTCCCAGGTTTGAGCTTACGGGGAATGGGTTACAAACAGTCTGTGACTTCCATGCGTGTGGTTCTCAAGCTTGTTGGCTTACAAAGCATGATGAAAACATGTATTTCTGCTTTTACTGTGATTTTTTTCTGGAACTTTATACACTAGAATCAAAGAATACAGCAGATTTTTTTTTTTTTTAAGTACAGACCAGAGATAGTAAGGACTTACCGAGGCCCAACTTCCTTGCTCTGGGTCTTAGAAGCTGCAGGATATATTAAAATATACATATATTACAGTACAGTTTTTGATTCATTTTAGTCACACCTTACATTTTGCTATTTTTACTGTATAGAAATATTTTTAAGTGTTACTTTTCATTCTTAGAAATCTATGTAATACATAGATTTATCTGTCAAAATACAGGAGAAACAATCCATCATATTAAACAGGTATTTCATAGGTCAGATCTAAAAATAACTCCCTTTAAAGACTTACTTAGTAGTTCTGCAGTAAAAAAACCCAAAATGAAAAGCACCATCTTAGTAACTACCGGCTGAAAGACAGTGATAAATTTGAACAACAGGCTCCCCCGCAGCACTGCTGTTAAGGAATGACAAACACTAACAGGAAATGTTTTAGCAAGCCTCCCAAAGTGATTTAGCATACGTGTAGTACTGAATATAAATTTCAGGGTTTTCATGCACACATAGATCTAACCCATGAATAAAGGCTGTAGAACAGTACTACTCATCTTTCAGGATGCGAGTGGCCAAGCTCTGAAGCTCTGCCAAGTGCCCTCGGCTCCCGCAGGGCCACGTGAAGTGCGGGGGGAGAAGGAAGGGGACACCACCCCTGACAAAATACTTTTAAATTACTGTCACGATGATCTACCTTTCGAGTCTTCCTAAGTGCCTTTGATATGAGTCAGCATTTGGGGAGGCAAGGATAGATATTTAGGGATTTAAATATATTTCAGAAACAAATTTTAAATCTGGAGTTTAAATCTTGGCTAATTTTGATGCGTTATTTGAGAGTTCATGAGTACCGTAATTCAGAGGAGGACACGTATATGAAAGAGTAATCATTATTTTTTATTTTGGTTTCAGGTTTTTTTTTTTTTCTTTAATAAATACTTAAATTTGAACTTTAACAAAAAAAAACCACTTTGACTTCTCATCTACTTCCTGTAACACTTTGTTAAGCAGTGAGGAAAGGTTGGCTATTTTAAACTTTCCCATTACTAGTATAAAAACAATTAAAAAAAGGAGGGGGTGTGTGTGAACCAACCTCTAAATCTTCCCATACACACTGTTCTTAAAGTAATCTCTGTAAATGGCGCTTCATTCACAAATACTTTTTAGAAGCATCACATTTACACAGTAATAGATCAGGAAAGTGTCTGGCACTGCTTCCAGCACAACTGTCAAACTGAACGTAGAGTTTTTACACTATTCTATAGTAAAGCTTGTATTGCCAAAAATAAATAAATTGCTTTAATGGCTCGTAAGGACTAAATAAATGATATTACCTTGTTTTATATAATTGATGGTTCCATGGTAATATAGGAAACAGGAAGACAAAAAGAAGTCCTGTTATTGAGAAATACAACTAGACAGATTAAAAATAAATCACTAGTCCAGCCTAGCCTTCATCTTTCCAATTTCCCTATTCCTGCAGTCACTTAAAATGAAATTAAAGCTTATCCAGACCTCATCTTTCCCGCAGGCATGCACAAAGTACACTACCAACCACCATTCATTACTCAGCAGCATGCAGCAATGCACAAACACTAATTCATGATGAGTTCACGCTGCTGCTATGCGGATGCAGGACCAGCGTAACCCTGTATTTGTCTAAAGTGGTGTGCAAAACTGAAGTAACTTTTAAGGGTGTAAAGAAAGCAGAGAATCCATTCCAGTCTTCTAAGGGCTTCAAGTACTTTCCAATAGAATAAAAATGAAAAAAACCCAGAATGTACAACTCACTATTTTGTCTGATCCATATATCTTTTCCAATTGTTCAGCAATTTCCTGTGTGCCATCCGGGCTCCCATCATCTATGATAATAATTTCAAAATTGTTTCCACTGAAATGAGAATTATTTTCAAATGAACAAATGGCAACCCCAGTCTCACTACCTTTGTCATTTTGAAAGGCAGGGAACTGAAGAGCAGAATACAAAGTGATTTTCTGACGCAGACACATGCTATAACTACAGCTCTGAGACTGCTTGAGCGATGCAGTGAACGATGCGAAACGTGACTCCGCCACTCTTTCAGGTCTCAGACTGCAACTGCTTCACGCTGCAGCGATACAAACACCAGCGTTACCCCAGCTTTACCCTGGCACTCGGTTCTCGCCTGCGAAAGATGAGAAGCTAAAGCTGCCTCTGCCCCTTCACCCGGCAGGGCTTTCCCTAGGAGCCGGCGCAGAACTGATCAGTACACAGGCAAGACCTCTGATGAGGTTAATTTCGTTTCGCTAATTAACGCCAGGGAAGAGCTGCGCACCCTCCATCGCTAATGAAAAACGTTACGCATTTCACAGCGCGAAGAGCGTTATGGGACGTTATTTTGTAAGCGTTATGGCCGTGTCCTTCCCAGCTCTACAGACAGCTGTCACGAGCTTCGCAATCCACCGCAACCCGACCCCGAGGGCGCC